TTTCAAAATTGTTAGCATATATCATTTTAGACATAAATAATCATTAATAGGAAGTCACCTAGAAAATTGCTGAGAAATTCATCTACAAACAATCATTGGATTTTATTTTGAGGATTTATAAAGTTAAATGGCTTTGCATTATTTTCAGAAAATTAAAAAAAAAAATGAATACATAGGCACCCCAAAAAAATTTGGAAAGGAAAGAAAAAAAGTATGTGTGCAGGGCCCAGCCCAGTGTCATGGCAGTTAAGTTCGCTCACTCTGCTTTGGAAGCACTTGTTCACGGGTTTGGATCCCAGGCTCGAACCTATGCATGACTTAGCAAGCCATGCTGTGGCAGGCGTCCCACATATAAAGTAGAGGAAGATGGGCACAGATGTTAACTCAGGGCCAGTCTTCCTCAGCAAAAAGAAGAGGATTGGTGGTGGACGTTAGCTCACAGCTAATCCTCCTCAAAAAAAAAAAAAAAAGAAGAAAAGTACATATGCATACAAGTATGTGTGTACATGTGTATACTAAATAAAAGATATGCAGATATATAAGTAATTAACAAAAATCTTCCATGTATTCTATCAACTTAAAATTGTTTTCCCCATAAAATAATCCAGAATGTATGACAACCTCAAATTTCTTATAAACTGAAAATTGCAGTGCTTTCTTCATATATATTCAAGAACTGTCTGGAGTTCAACAGATTCGTATGACCCAAGAAAGAAGTGAGGCTAATAAAACTGGAAACTCATTGAGTTTTAAAATGTGATGACCGTGGAACTAGAAGTGCGGTGTTTCAAACTGACAGGGTGCAGTAAATCTATGCTACGAGCTCTGGATACAGACCTGTCACAGATAAAACTGTGGACCTAGAGAGACAGAGGAACTAACTGGCAGGAGCCTCATCAGAAAAAGAACTGTGTGAAAAGGAAAACCTTGTTCAGTTAAAGTGAATGTGCTTACTTTTGTTCTTCTTAAATCATTAAAGGAAAGGCAATCACTTGATTTTATTAGGAATTCCTTCACTGTCTAACTACCTCATACAACTATTTATTTGATACTGATCACGTTAGTTTGAGTCTAAGTTAATTTTACGTGGTGTGAGTTTTAGGGAGAGAGATGTAGCCATGTATATATTTTTTGAATCTGAAAATATATTTATTCTAGAAAATAAGTTAGAATACTGAATTTTCTTTTTAAAACTTCTTTTTCACCTCTCTGCAGTCTAGAGCTAACATGAAGAGAGAGGGGGTTATTTTCTTCATGGGCTAATTTTTAATTAATAAATTTTATTAAATAATCTGACACTGCTTGCATTTATACCTAAGAAAGAAAAAACAAAGACACTGACTCTAGTACTTTATATTGAATGACAAAACTATAACATGAACTAAGTAAAGTTTCAGATTGTAAAAATCAACGTATTAATGTGTTATTTAGGCTAATTTATTTTTTAATATTCAAATAGACAAGTTCTACATACTTGATTTTAATTTGTGTAAAATACTGTATATTAATTTCCTGTTGGCACTGTGGCAAATTACTACAAATATAGTGGCTTAAAACAACACAGCGCAAATTTATTATATTACATTTCTGGAGGTAAGATGTTTAAAATGCATTTCCCCAAGCTGAAACCAAGGCGTCAGCAGGCCCAGGCTCCCTCCGGAGGTGATGGGAGAAAATGTATTTTTTTGCTTATTCCAGCTTATAGAGCTGCATTCCTTAACTCATACCCAATTCCTTCACCCAAAGCCACTGCCATAGCACCTTCAAATCCTTCTCTGCTTCTGTCTTCACATTGGCTTCTATCTTATATGAATCCTTGTAGTTACATCTGAGCCACCTAGATCATCCAAGATAATTTCCCATTTCAAGATCCCTAACTCAATCATATCTGCAAAGTCCCTTTTGTCATATAAGCTAACATATTCACGGGTTCTGGATATTAACACATGGACATGTTGGAGGGCCAATCGTTAGCCTATGATAGAATGCTAGGCATAAGTTAGAAAAATATTCCTAATCTAACTAGTTTCTGATTTACTAGATCTCAATATCTCTAAGGATCATAATAAAGTACTTAGAAAAACTCCAAAATATTTGAATACAGAAAATAAGAGCTATCATTTACCCTATTTTTTTTTCATTTTAAATAAAGGAGATTTTCCTTTCATTCCTTTAAATTTTTATATAGAATAGTTTACTCATACAGACATTTAAAAAAACACAAGGTAACGGTAATGAACAGTATATGAAAGAGGATAAGCATGAAGTGCGCTTATTTTTATTTTTTGATGATCTTTATGAATAATAAGAAAAAATATGGCCACATAAAAAACATTCATATTCATATCTTAGTGTGTAGCTTTTAAATTTACTGCTAGAAAGTCATGATCAGACTTTGTACAATTAGCAGTTAAGTTAATTTTAGAAATTCTATTCAATAATATGCCAATACAGTACATATTCATAAGGGAGGGGAATATAAGTGTAGCAAATAGAAATGTAAAAAGAAAAACAGTAAAATAGAAGCTTCAGAAGTAAGAAATGCATATCCTCCAAAAAAACACAGTTATTTTAACATTTAATATTGAAAATATTTGTGTATATATAAACAAAGTTGAATTCCTTTGTGGGAAAATCTCATCAAGTCATTGATTAGTCTGTATTCCAGCATTTAATGGATGTATTAGTGTAATAAATAATGATAATACAAATACTAACCTTATTGAAAATGCATATTCTAAGTTATAATATTAGCATAATTAGAGGGTAAAAAATCTCAAGTTCAAATTCAAGATGGGGAAGAAAAGACAAGTTTATAATCTTTCTGTCGTATGTGACATCTTAAACAAATTCATAAAATTTTATTTCCTTCACAGAACATTTTTTCTGAACCATATCCTTTTTACAAAAAATTCCAATCTAATTATACAATTTATGAATTTAATTATTGTTATTTTTATGACAAAATGTATTTGTACATACTCAGCATATTCCTTATATCTTGTAGAATCATTTATTGTCAATGTGGCCATAAATTGTAAGCTCCCTGAGGGCATAAATCTCCAGATTGCATGGCACTTTGACCAAGATGGCCCAGAGTCACTGTTTGATGAATTGAGAAAGTGATTGTAAATGATCAAGTTAATGTAGATTTCTTTATAAAAATCAATTTTCTTAAAAATTTCAGAGCACTTTTTCTGCCTAGTTTTACGTTCTGGACCCCAAAGTGGACAACTCTCCACAGACTATAAATGGAGAGCATATCTTCATTGGAGTAAAAAGTTGTTCAATAATTTCTAAGCCTGAGAAAGAGCAAATATACTCTACTTTAAAATTCAATCATACTAGCAATTTAATTTCAGTAATATTTTCTTAACAACACAAGGTTTGCAATTTTTCAGGTCATAAGAAAATAAATGTTGAATTACACATGCAATTTATTTCAACAAGGAGACCATGTATCATTCATGCCTGTTCAAATTCAAATTGATAACGTCTTTTGATATATCATCTTTGTACATAACTGTTCAATCAACATCCCAGGACAGGACTCAGTTAAAGAAAAATAGAAGAATATCTTACAAGACACGGTTGAAATAAAACTCCGAAAGGGTCTATGTGTGTTTTCAGTAATAAAAGAGTAGGAAAGAGAAAAATAACCTCTAGTTTATACCAACATCAGGCAAAACAGTCCTTGATTTTTTCAACAAACTGAGATCTACTCTTGTGGTTTAAGGAACTGCATGTCCAGATCACAAGAGAAAAAAACAATGCAAAATCTCCATTTATGGCAATAAATTATTCAAAGAAAGAGAAAGTATTTCTTAATGACTGTATTATATACTAATACACAACTTTTGTGTATAATGTGCATACGGTTGTGTTTATATGTGGGGCTGTGTATATGTGGAGTGGGGTGTACAAGTAGGGGTGTGAGTGTAGGTGTGTGTATGTGTGTGTGGCTGTGCGGATGTGAATGTGAGGGATGTAGATACGTGTGTATGTGGATGTTTGGGGGTATAAGGAAGTAAGTGAGAGTGTCATGTGTGCACATATGTGTCTAAGTGGGTGTGTATATGAGAAGAATATTTGTGTCAGTTCTTCTCAAGTGGGGGCGATTTTGCTCCCCAGGAGACCTTTGACAATATGTGGATTTATTTTTGGTTGTCACAACTGGAGGAGAGGTGTGCTACTGATTTCTAGCAGATAGAAGCTAAATAGTCGCCCACTAGATGCTGCTTAAACACTTAACGATGCATAATGCAACCAACCATAACAAAAGATTATCCATTGCAAAGCAGAATGCCAACAGTGCCGAGCTTGAGAAACACTAGTGTTTTGAGTGCGTATGGTGATTTTTACAAGGAAGTTATAAAACTTGCACAGAGTAAGGAATCAGTAAACTTCTCTGCGATTTTATGCTTCATGTCATAAACAAAACCAGAGGCGATCTCTTCATGTTTTTTGCATCATTGATATCCAACATCCCTGGTTCTTGCTATTCTTGCCTCACAAACCATTTACTAAAAACATTTAGCACCTAACTAATGTGAGTACGAGACTTACAAAATTTTTCCAAAACCATAAACAAATGTATCCTAACAAAGATTCCCTTTTACAGACTCTCGGAGAGGCAAATTTTTAAGCTACTGATAAACAAAAGAATAAGTAATGCTATTTAAGATTGAGTCTCCATGGAAACGGTTGATTTATTATTATTTGCTTTATTTGTACATAAATAATTGAATCCATTTTATGTTTGGAATTTGCGTATATTGGATGTAGAATATTAAATAGATCAAAATGTGAAATTATCTTTTATTTATACTTTTTCTATACCCAAAGTCCATGAAAGGCTTTCTGGTATTGAAAGTCCTGCCGTTTGCTAATTACATCTATTTGTTTCTAGTTCTCTTTTTCAGCCACATCATAAGCTATGAACTAGGTAGATGATTTACGGCCATCCTTTTCATTATTATTTCTATTTTCTCACTTTCCAGCTTTTTCAGGCTCATCCTGGTAGAAGAAAAGGCTGAAAATGATATCTCCAATTTATTACTGCATTTGTCTGGGGGCACTTTTCTGATTGAAATGACACTAAATCCACTGGGAAGTAGAAGCTGTGGGCTTCACGAGGATGCAACCCACACAGCTGTGATCAAACCTTTGATCTGTTACCACGACTGTCAAAATAAACTGATATGAAATATGAAAAAAAGAGAGTTCTTATTTTTAACTGCCAGATATACTGCTATAACTCTCAGTTCACTATGTAAATATTTTCAGTTCGTTATATAAAAGATGCATACTTTTTCTGTCATGAAGTTGTAAAATACATAATCTAGAGAGATTGTGTACATGTGAAAGGCAAGTTTGTTTATTAGCCCAAGGACATGCACGTGACAATCTCATAGATAAGGTTACTACTATCAACCTGCATATAGTTTATTTTTAAAGCATATATTTATAGTAGCTATGTGCTGTCAATTTCTTCCTGAAATAGTAATGCAGAATGTCACAGTTGGCATTTAGCTATTATTACTATACATTATTCCATTTATAAAATACACTTTTCTCCTTGCAGAAGAATACTAAATGTGTGCTTTTGGGGGGTTCAGAGGAAAAATACACCAATTTATTTTATTTTCATTTTATCTCATGTCTGTAGTGGAATCAACAGAAATATAGCCATTAGAGTAGTTTTACATCCATTTTCTATCAAAGTTACTGTTGTCTACAATAAGTCAGGGGATGTAAATAAATTATTTGATGTACTAAGTTTGGATAGTTGTCTTTTGGTCTGCCTAAATGCTACAGTCTCCTTTTCCTCTTTAAAAACATTTTACAAAGGCTTTAAAAAGATATCAGAGAGAATGGACAATCAGGCTGAGCTTCCGCCTGTGGGCTCATCTTTAATACATTATTATCTGTCTAGTTTTTCATTTTGATAAGCAAGGCAACGCAGATGATACCAAAGTCATTTTTCTCTTGAGGTTACAACCAGGGCATTTCTGCTTCCTTGATGAGTAAACATTCACCACAGAGAAAGACACACTGACATTTTACTTCTGATTAAATAGAATTAGAAAAAAATAGTTACAAACTGTCAATCACAAATCACTGGAAATAAAACTGTTATGCTTTCTTCTACTGAAATTTCTAGATTTGGGATCGTTTCACGGTCGTGAAATTTGGCATCAAAATAGGATAGCGATCATCCTATTGAGTGGGGATAGTGTTTCGGAATCTGCAAACGGATGTTGAAGAATGTCAGGTGACATGAGAAAAATGGCTTCCAGATAGCAATTAGCACATGAAGAACTGGAGAATTCTTGGGTTCCTTTTATTAATAGCTGCTTTTTATTCAGTCAATAAAGTATTAATGCATGATACAGAAGCCAGTAATCCATGCTTTACACGAAGAAGATTGATTAGCCTATTGTTTTAGTTTTCCTATTTCTTTCCTTTTTCCCAGGTTCTTGAAGTAGATTTTGCAGTAAGAGGATACATGCGGCCCGATTCTCTGAAATGGACCAATATTGAGTAACATTGTATTTGTCAATAAAGATAACTGGGCATGTTACTAAGACTCTTTTTAAGAGATTTAATTTTAAAACAAGACTACAAATATAAAAAGCATATAGTTCCTTCCCTGGTAATAATGCATCTAGATTAATATTGGAAGAATAGTGTTATTAAAAGCAGTTTAATTGCATTTAGGATATATTTTAATATTTAATGAGAACTACATAAATAATGAAAAGTGTAGGGGACTGGAATTGGCCACCCCAAGATATGTCTCTTTGGCATGAGGATTATTTGAGGCTGATTGCTTTTGATAAACTGGGACAGGAAAGGAAGCAACTGAAAAGTAGAATGAACTTACCCTTTGTTAGGAGGCATTTACATTGTAAGGTAAATCTCTATCTGTAAAGGTGCCTCCCTCTCTGTACTAGGAAGAAGAAAGGAGAGGACCTTCTCTCTAGAAACTCTTAATCAATACCAAAGGCAAGGACTTAAATCTGCATTTTATTGTGCTTGTCTGGTAACCTGCTGTAACTGACTTCCCTCCCCCTCCCAACATTGGCATTTCTTTAAGGATTAAGCATCTTTCCTTAGGCTAGGAACTGATTGCTGCGCGCACCTGTGACCACCCAGCTCAAGACAATAGACTTGCCTCCTGCTACGCCCTCCGAGATGGCAGACCCACTACCTACTGTGTCCATCAAGCGCTGTGCCTACAGGGTAATCTTGTGACTATTGTGGGAGGGACATTTCAATCACATGTGAAATATCCTGTTTGGGGGTATATAACCACTCTGTGCACCCCACTTCTTCGGTGCCCTTTCTTCCTTCTGGAAGAAAGGCCCCGGGCCATGGTCCTCATAAAGCTTTGTTTAATTTTCTCTTGCTATTCTGTCTCATGTGAATTTAATTCATTCTCCGGCCAGACGAACCCACTTTGAACAGAGGAAATGTCTTCCTCCCCTACAAAAGCATGAGGGTCATTTTCCTATATTTTGGGGAAGCAGAACAAATTCAAACTGGTCAAAATTCTTTAGCCTTTCTCTGGCTCATTTCTATATTTTTCTCTGAATCTTTGGTTTTTACTAGTTTGACCATGATGTGCCTAAGTGTGGTTTTCTTTGTACTTATCCTGCTTAGGTTTCACTGACCTTCAAAAATCTGCAAAATTATGTCTTCGACATACTGCAAAACTCTCAGCTTTATTTAAAAAAAAAATATTTCCCCCCAATATCTTTCCTCAGCTATCCATCTATGAATATATACATTTTTGACAGTTTCATTAAGTTCCTAAGGCTGTTTACATTTTCCATATTCTTTATTAATATATCTACATGTTTATTGATTCATTCCTCCACTGTCATCTCCATTCTGCTGTTCTATAATAGAAATTGGAGTTTTCCTTTCTATAAGTTCCATTTTTTAAGAATTTCTATTTCTCTGCTGGTATTTATTATCTTTTCTTCTAGTATTAGCATATTTTCCTTTGCCTTGAGTATAGGGATGTAGCTATTGATCTGCTAATGTCAACATCTGAGTCATCACAAGCTCAGTCTTCACAGAGTGCCTCCTTTTTTTTAATTTTTTGAGAAGTTGTCACATTTTCCTCTTTCTTTGATGGTTGAATAATTTTGTATTATATCTTGAATGCTGTTAGGTTATATTTGGTGACTGTGGATTCTGAAATCTGTTGATAGTCCTTCAAAGACACTTCTTCCCCATTTTTTCTCTCTCTCTCCTTTCTTATTTTAGCAAACAACCAGATTGGTAGGACTGAAACTGCCAACAGTCAGGAGTAGGGAATCTCACTTCAGTTCTTGGATTCATGGGTGGACTCCTTGAAACCAAGTATTCATTATCCAGAGGTCATTCAGGATTTTGGGATTTGGACAAAATTTGTATGTAAACTTTGAGTCACTTTCCATGGTCTCTGCTTTCCAGAGCCTCTACTCATTCAATTTTCAGTGGTTGAGGTTGACCTGAATCTTTTCCTCTTGTTCTTCAGGGCAGAAACATTTGGGTTTTCTATTGAAATTTGAACCATGTGGCATGGTGCAGACTGCAGACCATGGCCTGCCCTCGAGCTAGAGGCTATAAAAGTGGGAAATTCATTCAATATTATTTCCTTATTTCAAATGTTAAATAGCTTCAGGATATGCTTACATTTGGTTGCTCCCTAGTGATGTCCAGTAGTTGTTTTCTTTGCATTCTTTTCATAGTGCATAGTTGTTATTGGCAAGATAATTTGCCATGTAGTATCTTACTCAGACAAAATGGAAGTGGAAGTCATACAGCACCAAAATTATAAATGTCACTTGTTTTCTGAAACAGATAAAATAAAATTCAAAATGTTACCCTGAAAACTCAAAGTGTTTTTTTCTAGTACTAAAAGGATTCTCTTTCAAGCACAGATTGTGAAAATTGGATGTATTAATGGAGTACTTTTTTTCTCACTACCTCCTAGAAATTTACTTAGAGTAAAACAACTGTGACTACAATAGAATACTTCTAAAATGAAGGGAAAATTATGAAACATATTTGCCTCGCTGTGAAATATTGATTGAAGTGAGGAAGACCCTAGGAGTTTTTGCATATCTCTTTAAACTTTGAGCTGGCTAGAGACTTCTTGACTCTTTTGTTGATTATTCCTGCCTACGGTAGTACTACACTCCAGCTTAGAGCTTTATTTGGTATCTCTGAATAAATTTCCTCATATAAAGCCAGAATGATTCTTCAAGTCATATACAACAGTATGATTGTACTGGATATTAAAATACTTCAGAAACTCTTGGTAAAAATCTACTCCCCATGAATCACCTGCTGCTTTGAGCATGGTAAACCACACCGTGGGAATTTTCTTGAGTTTTGTTTTTAAAATAAATTTTTGTTGAAGTCGAAAATACATAGGGAAAGAACAAATCATGAATGTAGAAATACACTAATGATCTTAAAGCAAATATGCTGGAGCAACTCCACCAGGATCCAGGCATATAGATAGCATGGGCATTCTGGAAGATTCCTCATGCAAACCCAGTAACTATTCCCACAATCTTCCCCAGTGGTAACCACTATTCTGAGTTCTAGTTCCAAATTAGTTTTTCTTGTTTCAATACTTTATATAAATGGGATCATAACATATGTATTAGTGTATATCTGACTACTTTCACTCAACATCTTTATTTGTGAAATTAGTCCTTGTTTCACTGCCATAATGTTTTCTACTGTATGAACAGTGCTCAAATTATTTACGTTTATTCACTCTAATGTTGACGAATATTTGTGTGGCTTCCATGTTCTGGCTTTGAAGTATAGCATGGTTATGGGTATCTTATAATGTTACTTGGTGCTCATATTTACCAAATTCCTCTTGGAGTGAAAATGCAGGATCATAGGCTGTGCCTATAGTCAGCTATAGTAGATAGTGACAGACAATTTTAAAAAGTGATTTTCTATTTACCCTGTTATAAGCAGTGTGCAAGAATTTCGGTTACACCAAATCTTTGACGATATTTCATATCATTGGTTTTTAAATTTTAGTCATTTTTGCAGATGTGTAGTAATATCTTATTGAGGTTTTTATCTGTATTTCCATGATTACTAATAAGCTTAAATAAATTTACATGTATTTATTGACTATATGGATAGCCTCTCTTGTGAAGTGCCTTGTTGAATCACTTGCTTATTTTTTATTGT